GTGCGTGGCAATTGGCCATGCTCTGGCTTAGATCATCGAATTATTCATACTACCAGTAAAAAATAATTCGACATATACAAAAATAGTTGATTTAACAATTAATTACTTCTGTCATCGTCTCTCACGACCGTATTCGCTAGACGACAGCGAAAACTTTCAGTGCTTTAAATTGTAATACATTGTTATTTAATACTGCGTAGTGCTATCTTACTGAATTATTTGATGCAGAATCTACTTTGATTTTAAAGTCTCTCAACTTATCTGTCATTATCTTTGCTTGAAAACTTTGTACTAGTTTTCTTCTTCAGGTAAAATTCCCTCTGCTGCCAGGTCAATTAGTGTTTCTAATGTTTTTGTCTTTCTTCTACCTGCTCTTGGAAAAGATTGTGATCCACAAACAACTTTTCATTTGTCTTGATCCACTCATGGATATAGGCAGAATCTAATTTTGCGCCCACTTCAAACGGTTTTACCGGTTTTTGAAAAAAGAAAATCAGTGATTAAGAACAATAAGAACGCACAACAGTATGTGTTCTTCGAAGAAAGCATATTAAGTGGTAAATTTCATAGGATTAAAAATGACTCAAGCATTCAACATTCAAAATATTCACATACGTCGAATAAAATGCCATTTTTCATGCACTTTTGAAAAGAAAAAGTTTTATTCCTTTTTCATCTTAAACTATAATACATGAACCAATTTGATTGAGATGGAAACACTAAGCTTGTTTTTGAAATAGTTTTTTAATTGTGTCCAGAGCACATTAGAAAAAAATTGCCTTAGTGGAAAAAATTCAAAAAATAAAAGAAAGAACAAAACCAAATGCTATATCTTTTATGACAAAAAAATATCTTGTTCTCTGGTAGTGAACAGCAAATGTGACTATTCCACCAACATTCTTCCAAATCTGATATACGAAGTGCACATAGTTGTTTATACATTAAGTCAACCAAGCGTTCTCATATCGACTCGAGAAAAAGTGAGTGTGTAACCTGAAGGTGCAATCACAAACTTGATATATTCTTGTATAACTACGTTTCGTTTGAAACTGACCTGTTTTTCCTTTAAGAGATAGTCCAATATTTTCTCTACTTTTCCTGTGTCACCGCGACAAAGACAAAATTTTCAGCCTGGAATGGCTAAGTTTTAGTAGTGTCTAGGAAACATAATAATCGATTGATTATTACACTTTAAAAATAAACAAGTGTGAACAATTGCATGCGTTAAATATGTTAAACTGAAGGGTATGAAAATTCTATCTTAATGTAGATTTGATTCAATTATGTGCTGTAGCGATATATCAGAAGATCGATTGTTTTACGATTTCTTACTTCTACGATTCGTTTCTTGCTCACTCTCGAGGATTAAGTAACCTTTTCTGTTTTAACAGTCATCCGTTTGGTTGTTTCCTTTATCCTTCGCTTCTTTTCAGTTTAAATATGGCAGCTATGTATATGATCTTTGCATACTAAGTCATTGTCATTAAAAAACATATCGTACATTACAAACAGAAAAGAAAATACAAACCTGTAAATAAAACTCGAATATTGTGACCTTCATTATTTAGCTCAAAGTACCGCTACAAATAATGTTTTTGTATCATAGACAAAATTTAATACTTTTACCAGAAATACTTTTTTTGAAAAATAATAAAGTAATAAAATTCGATGAACTATCATCTTCACATAATGACTTGAATTTGACTTTTTTGTAACTCGACTTCTCCAAAAGTCAACAGTACAACTAAGAAAGCTGTAGTTCTTTATTGCTTTTCGTTCAACAGCGTCATATAATTTGCGAAAATCAATACAAAAGCGGAGTGAGTCATCTTTTTTTTTACCAAGACAATGGGTGACGACCATGCTGAATAAGATCGTTCTGCTCTGTCTTCTTGTAATAGTTGTTTTACCGCTTCATCAATGATTTCATTATTTTTCGGATTTTGTCGATAATATGCTGCGGTGGTAGGACGACTACCTTCTTCCAAATCAATGGCGTGTTGGATGGTGGTATCAATAACGGATGGTTTCGTTGTATCAAATATTTTTGCGTATCTTCGTAACAACATTCTCACTTTTGTCCACAGCGATAGCATATCTGTGATTGTGGTCGACCGGTATAGTGTGCATTGGAGTTGACAAGCGTTGGAGATCGATAAAAAGAAGGGTTGTTCGGTAGAACAAACTGCTGATTTGACCGTTCAACATCTCTAGGTCTCAGTTGCTGAACAGGCTGGTGTGTAACATTCGACACCTGTCTTTGAACTAATCGAGATGGTTGATTAGAAATTGATGCTGTTATAAACTGATTTTCATACGTATACTCTGGTGATGGATACTCAAATGCGGAGAGCGCATCGTCGTGTGTAAAACTAAACAAGGTCAGAAAGCATCTGTTCCATTTTTCGAAATCGATGATCATAAAATCGCTCGACTTGTTCACACTGTTCGACTCGCATCCAGACAAGAAGCACAAATTCGATCTTTGACTTCCACTGTGTATATCCGTTTGTGTTTGTGGATGGATCGTCTATTATACTCGGCTGACAACTGTGACGCAAAGCGGTATTCTACTGATAACGGTTGTTGCGTTAATGACTCGTCATAATCATCGAAAAAGCTGATGAAATAAAATGGTATTTAACCAACGATATGTTAGCCTGAGAAATAGCTGACATAAGATAATTCCAGTTACCTCTTTTCAGAATTCAAAGACTCAAAGTTGTTTGCTTTGGATCGTTTTGAATGACATGAGTTTCCACTCCGTATTTTAAATTTCATTCCTGTTTAGACATTTTTCTCTGTTTTGTGTGCTGCCCGGTAGTTTTCTGCGCTTTTGAACTACAAAAAGTATTCGAAAGGTATTTGATCCGTTTGCACAATAAATTCATTTCCGGACACGTACGAATCCCACAATCTGACAGCTTCTAACACAGCATAACACTCACGCTC